TCCTAGACTGACGTATGCAATGAAAGGCGTGGATGAAGTGCAGCTGCAGCCCGCCCACCTGCGCACCATCGCCCGCAACTTCACTGCTCTGAAGTGCACACCCACACTCCAATTTAGGGCCCCTTCCCTTCGCGACGGCGGTGCGTTTCCAAGCAGCGCGGCGCATAGCAGAGCATTGGTTTGAATGGAGGCCTTCCCACGTGCAGCGGGTGGCCGCTGCGGCAGCCAACGCCGAACTCCCGCCACGCGAAGCGGAGGAGGGCATACGCGCCACGACTAGCAGTACACAGCTTTAAATGGGAGCCTTCCCACTGTGCCGCCGGTCGCTGCGTTTTACCTGCTGTGATCTCTTTGTTTGTCGTCGCCGGAGGGTCGGCGAAACATACCCCTCCACAACCACCCTTCCACGGCGGGTGGTGGTGCGGCCGTGGCTGGGGCGGTGGCGGCGTCGGATGGGCGCTGCTGCTTGAAGGAAGCGCTGCGCCGTGGGAAGAGGCTGAGGGGCTAAGTTCTCTGGCCACACCCACACCCATCCTTTCGCACAACCTCACTCTGTTTTAATGAAAGATGGGTACTGAACTGCCACTGCTCCCTACGCTTGTTCCTAGCTGACATTGCATTCACAATGATAGCCATTGACGAAGGCCGGTGCACCATGCACCGATTTAGGCCTGTGGAGCGTTTCATTGATTGGCTTGAAGTCACGCTCGTCGTAAATCAACAGTCTCTTACGAGGAACAGAACACGGGTGCACTTCGCCAAGTAGTCTACGACGCGCGTAGAATAAAGAATTCAAGTTGCTCTACGACGAGCGCCAACGCGACGCTCGAGTGCAAAGGTCCTAAACAGAAATTAAACTCTCGACAGCACGACTTTAACGACAGTATTAAGTATCCTAGCAATGCGTCTCGGCGTAGGAGACTTGTACTAGAAGTAGAACATTAAATCAACCCCATCCTCCGCTCTTTCACTTCTTATTCTGTTAGAAGAAAATCGCTAAATTTTGACCAGTTTGACCAAAATAGCTAGGTTTTGACTCTGACCGGTTAATAGATGCAAACCAACGAAATGTGCCTGCCCGCTGGTCGTAGATCAAACTGGCCGCTCACAGGTGGAAAATCAATTGATTCTACGAAAAAGTTGCCATAAATTGAAGTGACCGCTTAATGAGGAGGCCGTTTGAATGAACTTCGTGGTACCACGAGTTGCCAGAGGACAGGCTTCTTTGATCTTATCCTTGCCGCATGTCGTAAACGGCACTTGCAAAAAAAGGTAGTATAATAACTAAATATCTTACGTGCGTGGTGAACTGAGGTAGAGAGTTTAAGAAACTCTCTCGGGCTCGCCAATTGTATTCGTTAAGCCAAAATTGCACGACTTTTTGCAAGTACTCCGTGTTGAATCCATATCTGAAATTTGCTCCTTCCAGTGGTGGAGTCAAACTCGGAAGCAGATCCAAGCGATCACGTAAATCGTCCAACACCTGTCAACAAAATTCATGTTTTAAGATTTGCAGTAGAAGCGAGTCAATTTATTATATGCAAGATACAATTGTTATTAAAATTCCACAGGGAAGTTATGGAAGAAGATTGGAAGATTACATTACAACATTATTAAGAAACTAATCCAGAAGGACGTGTCGCTAGAAGGGTAAAAGTCCATTTTATCTATTTTCAACAATCTGAGTGGATCTAAAAATATTCATTTTTGCTCAAGGTATTTAAACCTACCTTTTTCTGGAATGATAACCTTCAGCTCTGTGAAATCTTAACGTCTTAATATTAATAAAATTTTCTAAAAATAATTTGAAAGTACCATTTTCAAAATATTACATAAACTTGAATCACATTCTCCTCACAAAATATCATAATTAATGCAAAACTATTTTTTTGCTTATAATTTAAATTTACATTTGTTAATCTAATTCTGGATTTTTTCCAAGTCTTCCTTAAAATCATTTCTGGACTAATTCTCTGTTCACTTCCTGTCTTCTTTCTTCAATAACGCATATTTTACCAATTGCTTAGGTCACTTATTTGACTAATTTCTAGTACTTGATTACATCAGAAAATATGGTACTTTTATTGTTTCATCTATGAACTCCTTTACTTGTAATATCATTTCAGTTAAGACTACAAGTGAAGATGTGAAGACTACAAGTGTTGGGCCAATCAATAAGTGCAAAAAGAAAAGAAGCATTTTGACCGAATTAAGATTTTTCCTTGGACCGTACAATAAGTTTTCTAGTGAAAATATTTTCCTCCTCTAATCAATTATCTAGATGATTTAAACAGAGAGAATTCAATCATCTCACTACAACCACGCAGTCGTTCAACGGTGGGAACTTTACTGATGACAAAACAATATAGAATTGATACAAAACCTGTTGAGGCATTTAATTCAAGAATTATGAACTTTTATGTAGAATCACCAACGCCAATATACAAAAAATGTATGCCTTAAACGTTTCAGACTTTCTCAAAAACTTTTGATATTTAAATGTGACAAATCCTGTTAGATGGACTTTGATTGACGTCATCTAACGAGACGGACGCATCTGGTTGTGCTCTAAATTTTTTGTCACTTTATCTACTATTTTAACGATTTGTATATATTTGGTATGTTTAAGGGATTTCATTACTTGTTGCAGGTTGGCCGGATATATAATTTCGGCTAGTTTTTCGCTATTGCCAAGACAAACTAAAATATAACAAATTCTAAACGGCTACTGGAACATTAACGAACTTAAGATTTACGAGTTGGTGTTCGTGTCAAAACCTATAAACAGCTGCGCATTCTAGCCCACTTGAAAACAAAGACATTCCTATTGAGACTAAAAAACGAAGTACTTATTTTAGCTGACAGCCATGGCCGCCATCTTTCCTTCATTTTTAGTAGGAAGTTCTCATCTCATCTATTTTTAAACCTAATGGTAGGTTTGCAGACGTGACTGCAGAGTTGGATACCCACACAAAACACTGACCAATCAGGACAAGTATCATAGGAGGGCAGAATGACATTAATTTGAGCGGTAACTTTACACCTGAACAACATGTAAACAAATTACAACGTATCGCCCAAAACGCTAACAAAGTAGTGAGCAAAACACTTCACCCGGCATGGTCTCCACATGAACCTTGCTGGAAAACATACGTCGGCAACAAGCTTGTACAACGCATCATCTACTCCAGTCTTACGCAGTCTCCTGTCAATAATCCACCCCTTTCACCTTCCTTACGTTCTCCCCTCCCTACCTTTATTTCGATCCTCCTCCTCTGATCCTTCTCCCGTTTCTCCCACTCACACTACCACTTCTCCTACACGTGATGCCTCAGTTTCCTCACAACCCATCACTGCTGGGACACACTACAACCTTCAACCACGCA